TCTAAGTGCAATTACGCATTCTCCAAAAAGGAAAACTTGTCTGTTTTATCATTTTTGAGCAAATTATCGGGCAAGTCGGTCGGTAAATCAATTTGTTTAATAGAGTACAATAATGACTATACTGTTTCAGAGAAGTCATTCATCAGAAATAAGAAAGCAACAAAGAAAAAGAAGAATGTCAATTCTTCAACATTAAATGGATTTGATCTGCCTGGAATGCCTTTCCCGATGCCTAATATGGCAGCCCTGCGGAATGTAAGTATTATCTTCTGCTTATTGGCAATATGTCTCAAATCTGTTAATTCGTATGGGCAGATATCACTTAGATCCCATACAAACTTATATACCTAATTTATTTTGCCAACTTCAAGCAGGGGTATAAATACTTCCTATATAGGGATAAGATAGCCATGGCACAGAGCGGCTGCAAGGGTAGCGAGAGACATTCGTTGATTTATCATAAGATAACATTTATTATAGAATACGGTATACATAATATGGTGTCAATTCTGGTATGATTCTCTAAACCTAAAATTCAATTTGACAACAGTGTATCTTTGTCATACCCTATACATTATGAAAAGGAGAGACTGATGTTAAATTTAGTTTTATTTTAAGTTTAGAGAATCATGCCAGAATCGGCATCAATGTTGTTTCAATACACCCCTGACTTTTAAGTTTATTTTCGTGACAAAAAGTATTATTTATCCTCCTCCAAGATCCTCTGTATCTACATACCAATATTTATTGAAATTCATTCAGCAGTTTAGGAGTGAAAATGTATCAAACAGAAAGATACAAATAGAGTTAGGTTAATATTTATATTGGGCTTCATCTGCACTGTTGTGCTGTATTGTGTCTCTCTATTTACTGTATCTATCTAATTGTTATTAATTATGAAGCTTGAACTAATTTATGAAAGTCCATATTTTAGTGGTATGTTTTAAGCAATACAACGTACTTAATCTTAATTTGAGACTGTGAATTTGTTCTCAATCAAACATACTGAAATGTCTGAATCAGAATAATAAAATAAAATTAGGATCAATATTTCTGAAGTATGACATATTGAATTCTGTAGTATCAATATTTCTGAAGTATAGCGTACACAGAAATTAATTATCATGAGAACGGAGCCAATGTATCAAAGTATTAAAAACGCATATGAAATTCCTTGCAACAGTGATTTTATTTAAGAAATTAATTGATTCAACTACCTTGTCTGTAATGAGCAGTGTGTGTTTCTGAAAATTTACGTCACCAGTTGAAGCCACTGTGACGCGAGGTCTTCTGTATGATGCCGGCACTTCAATTGGCTATTTGTGTTTGCTATTTGGTCAACTTGACAACAGTGTGACCTTATAAAGCATATTAAGACTATTCGACTCAGTGCTGCCACCTGGTGCCCGTCATGCCAGAAAACTTTAATTATAATTACTTATTTTATATTATCGTAGCAACTGGGATCATCGGAGACTCCCCTGGCACCGCCTCCGTTACTAGGCATGGACGGTGAAGACCAAGCGTTGTCGTCTATGCTGTTATCGTGGTATATGAGCGGATACTACACTGGGCTTTACCAGGGGATGAAGAGGTAAAACTGATTTTTATATCGTGTTTTTTTATACCAGTGTTTGAAACTGTTTCGTGTAAAACATTGGACTTACTTCATTGTAGTTTATAGTTCATATTGCCGAAGTAAATTCAAATTTCCTTTCATTACAGAGCAAAACAGGGTCGCAGGCACATGTAGCGGAGGATCTAATAGAAACACAAGCAAGTTACTTTTATAAATTAGTTTTATTTCAAATCTCGCATAAAATTAATTACAAATAAAAAAAATAGACATGCCGTTATCCTTTAAAACAATAAATAAGAGTATGCCTCGAGATTTCTGTGTAAACTATGTACAAAATATACATTGAAATGATTCATTTTTACTAATAACAAATTGCGAATTTTCAAAATGCATATTGTGGATTTCGCTCGCTTATTTGATTGGTGGGTTATCTATTTAACATTAAAACTATTATGAAGACGTAGGTACAGACAATGACACATCAAGTAATACAAATTTATGGATATTCTGCAATTGTTATTATAAACCTTAAATCGTTTGATATTAAGTTTAAAATGTTAGTAATTGGATGTGCTTTAGTCTGTACACTTGGCAGTGAAGTTATCTTAACACTGTAATGTGTCGATTCTGGTATGATTCTCTAAACCTCAAATTAAATTTGTTTACATTGTATCCTTGTCATTCTCTATGCGGAATGAAAAGGAGAGATTGATGTTTAATTTAGTTATAAGTTTTTTAATTCATGCCAGAATAGATACCAATGTCTTAATAAACGAACTCGGTCACATCAAAGTGGCTAGCCAATTAAAGCCTTTTGTGTATTTTCTAGAATTATTATGATCAAAGTTATGTTGTTTTTGAATCATTCTACCCACGATTCCATAACTTGTTTATTTCTTTCTGAAGTCACTTTCTATAGAAAAGTAAAATAAAAAATTGTAAACTACACTTTAATAAATGAGTTTTTCGAATATTATTTTTTTAATATCGCTTTTCGTAGTAATCATTTAAGTCTATAAACGAACAATTAGAAGTTTTGAGATAACAGTTAAAATTGAATAAGTAGATTATTAATTGTTTTTTTCTTCTTCTATATTCTTGATAAAGCTTAATTAAGCCAATGTTATAAAAACATAAGACAAAAATAATTCTACACATTTTCTTTATCTTTATATATATAATTCTTCTGTGAGTGTGTATGTCACTGAACTTCTCTTAAACGACTGGACCGATTTTGATGAAATTTTTTCTGTGTGTTCAAGGGGATCTGAGAATGGTTTAGATTCACAATTTTGTTCGCTGGACAACCCCTTTTTTTTTAGGGCGGTACGAAGTTCGCTGGGTCAGCTAGTATATGTATATGATTGTAATAAAACAGTCATTTTAATGTATCAAAAAAATCTTAACCCCAGTAGATTAACCGCCACAGGTGTATTTATTAATTTTTGCAAATATTTTTACGAAGTTCTAAATCAGGTAAACGACAGAAAATGTATTGAAAACTCCACAAATGACAAATTTATTATGTCTGGTTGAATTTAATTCATAAGTAAATAACAATTTATCTCTACGAGTATTTAGCAACAAAAACAGAACTCGGTTAAACATAGAACTATGACTAAAAGATCCCCTAAACGGAATCATTAGAAATGGCGAACTTTCATTATTTTACGTGTCATTAAAATACTAACAATATATACAACTATTCGCAATATACAAAGTATTGAAAGGACTTTTTGTTCATCAAAATTGAGACTCCTTGTAAATATTCTCATGGAAGTCAATATTTAGGACTGTTATTAATAAATCATAATGTGTATAAATACAAGTTTGTACTGTTAATATTAGTCTAGTAAGTACTTTTAAACAATAATTCGTGAGAATTGACTACTCCATGTTTGTTATGCATGGGTGTAATTATTACTAGATGCCCAAGCACGAATTAAATCAGCTACGTAATCGTATCGATATCGTCAAATTTTGTATGAAAAGAGCCAGTTCTTACGGTAGAGCGGCACCTTAGTTTTCATAGGAACTTTAACAAAATTCGTGCTTGGACCTCAGTTGGTAAGGTTGAAAATTACATAAACAGCTTATAAGTTTATTTAAAAATGATGTTTACATGATATCAATAGAATCGTTTTTACAAATTATCCTTTAATCAGGTTCACTGTAAATAAAAAATTTACATACTTCGATAGATTTAAAGAATCGTGCTAAATACAGTCGTAAAACATGAAAGTGAACAAACACACTGTCACAACGAATATATTATTTTATTGAAAAAGGCGCTGTTGAAAATTTTCAATTATTCCACTTCACTGAATCTTTATATATAAAACTCAAAGGTGACTGACTGACATAGTGATCTATCAACGCACAGCCCAAACCACTGGACGGATCAGGCTGAAATTTGGCATGTTATGACGTAGGCATCCGCTAAGAAAGGATTTCGATCAATTCTACCCCCAAGGGGATAAAATAGGGAATGAAAGTTTGTATGAAATTTTGTCAATTTTAAACTGATCGAGCTGAGACTTTGCATGCAGGTATAAGAAGAATCATAGATGAACGTCATTGTGTATAATACAAGTCTGAGAACAAAAGCTGTAGTCTACACCGAAGCGAAGCGAGGGCGGGCCGCTAGTACTTATATGAATTTCATCATAACTTTATGTAAACTCCTGTGTACCAGGCCTCGGGTTTTACGTAAACAATTCGTTGAATTAATATTTTTTAGTTATCGAATAAATTTAAAATGTTCGAATTCAAAGAACGACGACGTTGATGTTTGGGGGTGTGGTGTGTATTGTGCGGCAAGGATCTGAAAGTGGCGAAAATTGGAAGAAACGCCACGGTCTTTGTAATCGTCATATTTTGTATGTCATTTACGTAGACAGTGGCGCCCTTCTAAAATATGACCCAATACACATACAAAATATGACGTTTACAAAGATGGCGGTGTTAGTTCCAATTTCCGCCACATTCATAATGATCCTTGCGCACTGTAAGTTTGGCACAAGCGGGTGCCAAGTTTTTTTTTATAAATAGGTCCGACAGATGACTCCTCCTCACCTGATGTTAAGTGACAGTGGAGATCAGACGCGAAGATAACTAGTACAGGAGTTAGCAGTACTACATGTCACTCCAGCCATCCTCACCTTACCAGCCTGCATAATTGCTTCTTGACACCTTAAAGGATTCCATTTTAAAGGAGGAAGGGAACACGAGCTGACAAAGCATGCCATTTGCGGATAGTGCGACAAAGAAAAGAGACACCGAATGTCTTTATTCGTGATATGTAGTATGCGGTCAGGCAGGGATTCCCTGTGGTTCCTGTGGTCAGACTATCATGCTGAGCTCGTGCGTGTCGTGGCTAAAATCGCTGGTGGCGAGGAGCTAACCGATAGACGTCATATCGTCCAGCGGGTGGCCTTATATGTGGTCAGGTGGGGGTTCTCTGTGGTTCCCGTGATTAGACGAGCGTGCTCAACTCATGAGCGTCGTGGCTAAAGTCGATGTTGGCGAGGAGCAAACCGACAGACATAGTATCGTCCAGCGGGTGCCTTTGTATGCGATCAATGGGGGTTCTCTGTGGGTTTTGGAATCAGAAGAGCGTGCTCAGTTCATGAGAGTCGTGGCTGAGGTCGATGGTGGCTGGGAACTTACCGACAGACGTGATATCGTCCATCGGGTGCCTTTGTTTGTGGTCAGGTGGAGGTTCTCTGTGGTTTTTGTCATCAGACAAGCGTGCTGAGTAAGTAAAGCTAAAGTCGATGGTGGCGAGGAGCTGACCAACAGATGTAATATCGTCCAGTGCCTTTGTTTGTGGTCAGGTGAGGGTTCTCTGTGGTTCCCGTGATTAGACGAGCGTGCTCAGCTCATGAGCATCGTGGCTGAGGTCTATGGTGGCGGCGGGTACTCCCGGGGTGGCAGCACCCTCGCCCGGCGGCGTGCTCGTCGGAGGCCTGAAAAACAAACTTAATTCAAGATAGCTATCCTTTAGTAGGGCATAGCTCGAATAGGAATGCCGTATGTAGAAACAGAGGCCCAGGCACGAATTTTTGACAGCTCCGTAATGTTTCGAAATGTCTATGAAAACTAAGCAAAGCTCCATCGGATGTAAGAAAATGTAGTTTTTTCCATCAAAATTTGACGATGACGTTACGTTACGGAGCTGCAAATAATGCTGTCCTTGGGCCTCAGAAGTATGATAAAGGCCGCTAAGATGCGATTTGTCAGGACATTAGTGTTACCTATAAGCGGGCTGCATCTGCAGTCCTTAGCACCCATCAATCCTTACCGAGTCTTGCTCCACCAGTAGGGAAATTTCAAGAGAGGCAAGATATCCTTCTCGAATTGGAGCGCCCGTCTGGGGAACCAACTTCCACCTTACAGACAGTAAAATAACATTACCTTTTGGTGGCGTTTTGTTTCTGTTCGTGAGTAAGGTTCAAAGGATCCACGGGGTAGGGAACTAGGTTAGAGAAGGCAACGCTGTGAGTGATATTTTTTGGCATCGTAAGCGTTCGTAGGCTATGGGTAGGCCGCTTACCATCAGGCGGGCCAAATGCCTGTTTGTCGCCCTTTTTAACACTAAACGCCCAATAATATATAACGCATAAATAAAAACATGCAGGGATAAAGAAACTATATGAAAAAGACAACATATAATCAAGGTGTCACCTACTCGAGAGGCCCCGGGTTCGAATCCCAGTGGGGGCAGATGTTTGCGTGATGAATACGAGAATTTGTACTCCAGTCACGAATGTTTAATATGTATGTCTCTAAAAATTACTTATATATGTATCATCAGTATACGTATTCTATCCGTTACCCTAGTATCCCATTACACAAGCCTACGGTGCTTACTTTGGGGCTAGGCTTAATTGTTGTGCGTCATAAACATTTATTTATTAAAAAAAACTGTATTGGTAAAAAAACCATGGCTAAGTCTGTAGGCTATGTTTCTTTACTTACCTGCTCTATTCGTTAGCCCCTTTAAAGCTAAAGAAAAGTGATAACCTATCACTCATTCCCAACTTTAAAATGAAAGGAATCGGTTGAAACGGAATAATTTCATAGACCCTGAATAATACATTAAATGCTTTTTTTTACGCTTCAATATACCTGATAATGTACGGTCCTCCTTGCTGCAGCAGCGTTATAGGATGCGTATACGGCGCTCCCGCCATACTGTGGAAGCTAAGATTGCCAACGCCCGTATTATTCAAATGTCCGTTCAAAAGGACACCGTTCGATGTATTCAGATTCGTTGTCGCACTCGTTGTGTTCAATTCTTGCGTCCTTATCGCTTTAACTAGATTAGTCTTCTCTTTCTGCCACACGAACACGTTGTGAACCATTGCGCAGCCGCAGAACACTATGCCCACTCCGATGAACACCGACGTCACTATGGCCGGAGTTGAGTGGAATTGAATGAAGGTGTACAGGATTATACCTGGAAAACAAAAGAGTGTCCTTTTAGTCAATCAGTTCATTATCACCAGCTCATTAATGTCACCACTGCTGGGTCATAGGCTTTCCATATGGATGGCATAGAGAGAATGGGCCATGAGAGACTAGACTAGAGACGCAAAAAAATGTTTTTTTTTCTATTTATTGTGCAAATTCTTGGTTTTTTTCTGGAGCATGTTTTTTTTTCATGAGTATAGAAATTCAAAATGTTTGAGGAAGTTTCTAGAAAGATTATAGATTAAGAGTTTAATAAAGTTTTCTGTTTGTTTGAAAACCTCGCACACATTTTTGATTGAAAATTCCCAACTAAGCTTTCAATATCACAAGACACGACGTGACGTACGGGTAAATTATCGGATTCCCCGTTAGTTTGTTTGTTTGCAGTGTAAACATGGTATGAATGGAGTTAACAGTGCATTCGAAGAATATATATTTTTTAAAGCAATATGTGAGATATCAGACATAATATACTAAAAACCAGACAATACTTCTGCACCGGTCACCCGGCGTACATTCTAAGGGCAGTTCCCTCAATGCACGCCGAGAGTGAGGGTGTAGTCGCGGCAACCGTTGCCGACTGTCCGCGCATCTTGAGCTTCCGTAGACCCATCATGATGAGCCTAGGGAATCTCAAGGTGGATCTTATAGATACCAGTTATAAAGGGTTTCCTTTATTAATGACTACTTGATATTAAAATTTGCATAGGTAGTTCGAATTTCATCTATTCGACTAAAAACTTATTGTCTCGTTATTAATTAAAATATAAATCAAAGTAGGTATTTTAATATTAATAAAACAATAATATTATACTAACTGACCTGTTAAAAACACGGGTATTGATATGAAGAAGCCTCCTACGGCACACACTCTTGTTATCGCTGACTTTTGAAGGTACTTGTTCGATCTGAAACATAAACAAATCGATATCAAATATCTATACATAAATATAATAAAATGGTAGGAAAGTCAAAACTGTACATTGAATATTTTTTTAAAAGAATACTTGGGGTGTGATCTACAATTGATACCGAAGCCAAAAATATAGTTTTTAGATTTTTTGTCGGTTTGTTTGTTTGTCTATATGTATGTCCGGGATCAACTCAAAAAGTACTGCATGGATTTACTTCAAATTTGGCACGAATATTGTTAAGAAGTCGGGTCAACATATAGGCTACATATTATCACGTTATCACCTACGGGGAACGAGCAGTGTACCTTTATTTCTTCAACGCATTCTGTGACAACGTGTAATCTAACGACGCATATTTGAATGTTGATATTATGTTAAAACCATGCTATGAGCTAGCTTTACACTATAAGTAATTTAGGTCGATAAACATAATACACAATTTTCAAGGTCGATAAACATAATATCAAGTCGAATTACATGTGTAAGCACTTTTTGGATATAAATAAATCTATGAGATTTCAAAAACATCAAGTCGAATTACATGTGTAATTTGATCATGTGGGCGAGGTCAAAAGTTGTTTTTAAAAGTCACAGATGGAGTTATGCATTTTCGTTTTTTAAAATTGTATCGTGAATTCGTTTCAGATATGAGCAAGACAATGAAAAAAAAATGTGTTCGGTATTTATTGGTGTAATTATTGCTTCTTAATTATTACTTTATTAATATATTTTCATGTCATCTATAAACTTAAGTGAGATGTGGAACTATGTAGCTAGATTTTTCTACTCACACATAGCCATTTATTTTATGTTAAGAAATCGTGTAAAGTCATAACTTAGATGTGTTATAATTTTTCACCATATATATATATTTTCTATTTGCTAACTAGATGGCGTTGGCGTCCAAATAAGTATTTTTACCCTATTCTGTATTCCTTATTCATTATTTTCACCATCTGCTTCAGTCACAACTTTTGACTTAATTCAGCAGAATCACCATAAAGTTATTTATTCAAAGCAGGCTGAAAATCAGCACTTTTTGAAGGTCAATTTTCAAAAGACAATCTCCCTCTATTACTGCACTTTCTGTAAATATGAAATGTATAGAAGAAACGGGTAAATGAATGTTATTTTAAAAGGTACAGTCGTAGGTAGTTTTGGTGCTGCATCTGCATAGCATTCACGCAGACGTCGCAGCGAAATACCACTCATTGGTTAATCATCGAAATCTTAGAAACTATAACATCTACAAACTTAAAGTTTGGTAGGTAGGTTCCCTAGTAGATATCCGCTAAGAACGAATTTTACGAAACTCCACCCCTAAGGGGGGGTAATACGGAGGTTGGAAGTTCGTATGAAAGTCCTATGTTTTTGAAGCAAGAGATTTGAAATTTAATATGAATGCTCTATAGATGGTGTAGAGGTGTACTAATAATGTATCTTTAGAAATAAACCCCTTTTTGGGGTCGAAAAGTATGTGCAAATATACAACTACCACGCGTACGAAGTCGCGGGCGGCCGCTAGTCTAGTATAATTTTGTGAACCTTTTACTTTTAAAGGGAGATGGTCTGAAAAAAAGTGGGCTGAACGGGGCAAACTAGTGATTCCTTGCCACTGAGAAAAGTTTTCCCGTAAGGTTCGCAAAAGGAACAAACGACACAAGACATTTAACATTTGGATATTTACAAATTACAAATATTTTCATTTAATAAGATTATTTCATTTCAAATAGTTTATTATAGGTATATCAAGAACAGACACAATTAAAAATATAAAATAATAATCAGTGCACACACTACACAAGTAATTTACTGAGACTAGTTATGTGTTTCATGTAAATATCGGGTGAGATATCATCTTTTCAACATATACGAGGCCAAATTTATACCAGGTGAATTTGAAGTTGTTTTCCTTGGAAAGTTTGCAGATGGCGGCATATAATTCTTTACATTGTTTTGATAGGTGTTCACCAATATATATAGGCTCGCGGTCTCCTAAAATTTCCAAATGTGTTGAACTGAGTTGTTCTTTTTCATTACTTTTGTTATATCACTTGACACTGGCGATGATGGCATCTCGATGGCGTTCAGATAGAAGAGTGACTAATATTGTTCGAGGCCTTTCAGATGATGGATTCAACGTCGCTATACGACGACACGAACGTATGTCACTGTCGGCAATGGGCATATTAATTACATCACATAATTTTTTAACTAGTCTGGCCAAATTTTCTTTGCGATGTTCCGGAATGCATTGAACTTCGGGATTACAGCTTCTAGATGTTTTTTTCTGTCTGAGAAAGACGAGTCTTGAGCATAGAAAGATCTGACATTAGCTTATCTTTCAGTGCTTCTAATTCAAGAATTCTGGAATCAGCATGTTTGATACTTTTCTTCCTGTCTTCTTTCTCCGCTCAAATAATCTGATGTCTCGAAAAATTATTGTTTTAAAGTATCAGTGATCGCCTTTAATTCAGATTTTTTTCTTATATCTCCAGCGAAAGCATAGCTCTGATACTGTCAAGCTTCAGGTCAATCAAGTGGCTGAACTGTCTCATTGTAAAAGATGGTTCAGAATTAGGCAACTGTTCATCAGTATCCAACCTTAGTGATGAGGAAGACGCATTAATGAGAGCCGCATCAGAAGACGTGTTCACTTGTTGGGCTGCAGAGGTGGGGAGCGTGAGAACCGGAGATGCATTAATGTTATTTAATCTGTACGGTGATCTTACGGAAGTGTCATCATTCCTAAGTGTCATCATTCCATTCGCCAATACGGCGAGTAATATTAGCACACGAGTCGCAGCAGACTTATAATATGATTCTGAAGCGACACATTGCAGATGAGACTGGCTGATGGCTTTCTTATATCAAGAGCAGTTCATTATGTCCAAAAATATAAAGAGAAATATTGGCAAAGCGACAGTAGGTTAGCCAACTAAGCAGTAAGCGAAATTCGCAAGCCAAACCAAATCAAGCATATGAATGTGAAAACTACACTTACTAAAACTGAGGCTGTTATAAATAAAAAAATAAAATTTCTCGGCTGTTTTGTGCTGCTTTTTTCATGAAATTATCTTTTTTGGGGAAAGTTTTTTGTTTGTGCGAAGAAAAGGAAATACCACAAACACCCTGACTCGAGACCATTAAGAAAAAGCTTAATTTTTTTCTATGTTGATCTAGTCTAAAGAAGGTATTTTTTTTATTCGCTTTGTTTAAGTAAATATTTTATTACGGCAAACTGTTTAGTGTGACCGTCATTATTTGTCAATATGTATTGTGAAAAAGCGAGAACGGCCTTTTCTTGGTTTCCGCACGCAACGGGCTGCAGTCGACAAATTAAATTAGCGGTTAACGCAACCAACATGTAAGTACTACCTAAGTTAGTTACGCAATAATTCAATAAAAATAATGTTAATACACATATACATATTTACCATGAATGTGTGAGTAGTTTCTGTGTGATGTCATATGATTTTATTTTTTAAACGACGATATAAACTACTCTCCCCCCACCACGCTTTATGTTAAGTGGAAATGCGAAATACAAAAATGTTCTGCTCTAGCCATCCGCATCTTGTAAGCCTGAACCGTCTCCCCTAGCCTAGCTGGATTCCTGAAAAATATAGGTGTCCGCAGTATTACTTTATTTATTATTTATATCTTTATGTTATCTAGTGCGTACCAGCGCTTTTTCAAATAATATCGCCAGAGTCTTTTCTACAGGTCGATCGCTCCCGATGAAGTATTTAAAGCCCTTAAGGTCAGAGGCATCCTCCCACGGGTGTGTTTTATTCAGAAGGAGTCTGCCATAACCACCTGTAGAGGATTGATCCTTGAGGATTTCACACCCGCTTTCAATTATGCTTCTTCGGAACTTATCTCTTCCGAAGTTGTGTAACGGGACCCGCCTTAAAGTCATCTCGCTTCACAGACACGCTTCACAGAATTCCTATAAGGATGTATTTTTACCCTATTCTGTTTCCCTTATTCATTATTTTCTCCATCTGCTTCAGTCACAACTTATGACTTAATTCAGCAGAATCACCATAAAGTCATTTATTCAAAGCAGGCTGAAAATCAGCACTTTTTGTAGGTAAATTTTACATAAGACTGTTACTGCACTTTCTGTGCATATGGAATGTAAAGGAGTAACGGGTAAATGAATGTTTTTGAAAGGTATATCGTAGGCATTTTTGGTGCTGTATAGCGTTCACGCAGACGCCGTCGTCGCAGCGAAATACCACTCACTGGTTAATCAAGAAATCTCAGAAACTATAACATCTACAAACTTAAAATTTGGCAGGTAGGTTCCTTATAGGGTGTAGATATCCGCTCAGAATGAACTTCAGGAAAGTCCACCCCTAAGGGGGTAATACGGAGGTTGGAAGTTTGGATGAAAGGCCTATTTTTTTGAAGTAAGAGACTTGAAATTTAACATGTATGCTCTATAGATGGTGTAGAGGGGTACTAATAATGTATCTTTTGGGGTCAAAAAGAATGTGTAAATAACTAACTCCATGCGTACAAAGTCGCGGGCGGCCGCTAGTTAATAAATATACCATAAGACCGACTTTTGTGGTATCCAATTTATGACATGATTAGAGAGAGTATATTTTGAAAATTGTTGCACCAGTTGAAATTTACCATCAGAGTGACAAAGACAAAATATTTCAACCCCTTTGGTCCATTTTCTTAACCGTATAAGAATGTCTCAGGTTATGTTTAGGGCATCGCACCCGGGTTTACCCGGTCCGAAAAAACTCGGGTTTGATTTGCAAAACGAGGCATAACATTAATGGCGAATGATAGATCGTCGGTAAAGATCGCGGGAAGCCGCTGGATGCGAGTGGTGTAGGACCGATCAGTCGGCGTCGCATGATTGATATGATGCTGATAAAGAAAAAAAATTTCGTTTGTTATATTAAAACTGTTTTTGTAATATTAGATACTACTATTTCATTAATTTAAATACTTCCTTGTCCTTTGACATT